ATATATATATATATAGGGAGAGAGAGAGAGAGAGAGAGAGAGAGAGAGAAAGAAGTTTCCTCTTCTATACACTTCAAAGTGGTATTGCTTATAAATCTGACAACCAATAAACTAATAATCTGAAATTTTTATCATGCCTGATTTCAGATGCTAAATAGGGATAGGTCCAGTTAGTACTTGGATGGCAGATCACCATGGAACACAAGAATCTCCAAGCAGGATTAGGAAAGAATCCTGTTGAAATCTTGCAGAGTTACTGTCAGTCACTATGGGGGTGTCAACATGAGCTAAATAAACATCAGTGGGGAGTCTGGACAATACCCAGCCCAAACACTCATTCTGGTGTGAACAATCTGGACAACATCCAGCCAGTTCAGCCCTGAACCCATGGTATAACATCATCAAAATATATTTTTTTTAATTTGCTGTTTGGTCCAGATCTTCCCATAAGATTCAGAGCCCTCCATTGCGACACCAGCTAGCTGTTCACATATACATCCTGCTGTGGCACTTACTGTAGCTGCTGCAGTGGTAAGACTCTGGACCTTATCACACGGGGTCTAAAGCAGACAGAACCCCGTCCCATCCCCGTCCCATTGCGGTTTTTCCCCCCGTGTGTTCACATGACATCGCACAGAACCCCGTCCCATCCCCGTCCCATTGCGGTTCCTTTTCCTGTGTGTTCACACGATGTCGCAGAGAACCCCGTCCCATCCCCGTCCCAATGCGGCATCATCCCCATTCTTTTGAATGCTGGTTTCCTGGGGAATTACGTTTGCGCGACCAGAATGATACCGGAATGATGCTGCTTTCGTTCATTGCGCAATGATGCTAGTTGCGTCTGATAGTAATTTCTGGCTTGTGGGGTCTATACCGGTATAGTTCTGGATTGATTCCATACCGCTTTCTTGCCACTTTGAGACCTGCGTGTGATAACGTCCATTCACTCTGAGGTCAGAATGTTGGGGCATCTCTGGGGCTGGAATACTTGAGGGCTGCTCCTGGAGTATTCTGGCCCATGTGGACCTGGCCTTTAATGGACTAGATGGACCGAGGTTCTTACTCACTATAAAGCAGCTTCTTCTTCCTATATTAGTGGAAGTGTATCTGTCTCTGGCCAATTCCATATTTAATACTGTAAAAGTGGTCTTCCTTTGCTTCGATTCCCTACTTCTTTTACTCCACCTCAAGTATCTTACCAGCAGCACCTCAGAGAGCCTTCTTCTGTTTTTCTGCCCTTAAAAAAAAATAAATAAAAATCTCAGGAATCTTAGGGTTAAGGGCATAGTCAGTACTGCCTTTGTCCCAGCTTAGCTGTTTTAGCAGCAGTGCCTCAAGAGAGCTTTTTTCACTAGCTGAATTATATCTGATTCTACACAAGTCTGCACCTACTTTCCTCAGATGGGTTCTTGAGGCTTCTTACCCCCTGCCCCCCACTTTTTGTTGTTGTTTTACTTTATGAATTCTACCAGCAGTATGTTAGGGAGCCTTTTTCTATTTCATTGCCCTTTCCCACCTCAGAAATCTTAGAAGCAATTCCTTAGCAATCTCCTTTTCCTTTTCTGCCTCAAGAATCTTACAGCAACACTTCAGAGAGCACTATGTTTTTTCCTGTCTTCACTCTGACTTTATGATTTATGACTTTCTTCTCTTTTTTTCCTTTTAGGAGCCCCTCCTTTTTTGTTATTTTGGCTTTAGACTGGGCATTTTCACTGGGATGGCAACAAAAACGTTGTCAGATTTTGAGGCATATACAATTATTTCCTAATGAGTTATGACTGTTCTTTTTTGTTTGTTCAACTAACAATTCCCTTTCCACCCAATCTGGAATGTTGACTTGTAGTTCAATAATGCAACTTGGACAACAACAAAAAACAAAGCATTAACTTTGAAGTATTTGGCATGATGTCCCAAGAAGTTTGGTTGCAACACCCACACCCACACCTATTTTTATTATTAAAGATTCCAACTCTGTTCGCCCTCCTCTGGATTTGGGCCTGAAATATGAAGGCAAATGTGGAACACTGAATATAAAGCAGGGGTAGGCAACCTGCGGCCCGGGGGCCGGATGCGGCCCCCCGAGGCCTTTAGACCGGCCCTAGGCTGGTCCTGCAGCCACTGCCGACAACCCATGATGATATTGATTATTGTTGTTATTACTTGTTCTTGGGGTTTTCTTGGCAAAATCTCCACAGGGGTTTTGCCATCATGGCTTTTCTGGGGCTGAGAGAGTGTGCATGCATATTTTTTTTAAAAAAATTAAAATTTATTTATTTATTTATTTTTGCTTCGGCCCCCCAATTTTCTGAGGGACAGCAACCCGGCCCCCGGCTCAAAAAGGTTGCCTATCCCTGATGTAAAGTATAAGCACACACTATAACATTAATCTGTATTGTTCCCAGAGTAACCAGATGTCATAACTTCAAAGGAGGACAAGACACCACAAAATGTAGGACATTAAAAAATGCAGGATATTACAAAATAAAAGCTAAAAATGCTAATATAAATTCTTTTCATATTGTATATTTACAGCTCTATTGCATATTTTTGTTGTTGCTGTCAACTGCCCTCGAGTAATTCTAGGAAGGTGGAAGGAAGCAGAAAGAAAGGAAGGCATGCTATTATATATACTTCATTTTATTATCTCTTTATTGTTTTTATTTTATTATATTTTATTATCCTGTCCTATCCATCTTATGCTCCTATTTGCAGTGAGGACATGCTGCCAAGTAGATGCATTTCTTGAAGGGGAACAGCAAACATGATGCTACTCAATGGGCTCCTTAGTCATGCTCAAAATGGAGGATATTTTGGATTTCCTCCTGGACAGAAGGCTGAAATGTAGGACATGTGCTGGAGGACACCTGGTCACCCTGATTGTTCCTGATTACAAAGAATGCCTATTAAACATTCTATGGCTTTGTGGAGAGTGAGCCAACATGAGGTAGCCTTTTTTCTGCTATTCAAGCAGCAGGATTTTTCATCTTTGAGTATGTATGGGGTTGGATCTAGTATCCCTATTAACAAAACTTTGTTTATAGGATGCTACTACTGGATGGAACAGCAATTTCAAACAATCTTGCCTTCCCCTTGCAGCTCACTGTGCCTCCTGACATCTTGCTTTTGAGACCATGAAGGACCTTTCAAGGGTTCAAGGACCTTCTGGAACATTGCAGGGAGAAGAATCAATTGCCCCAAATCATTCCCTCTCTTCCTTGAGTGGGAATCTCTGCTGGACCTCAGTTCCTTCTGTAAATAGAAGGAGCCCCTAAAGCCAACCTGTATCTGAGTCAATTACCTTACAGCTGTTTTTGAAAGCCCCCCCCCCCTTTGTAGTTGCCTTGCCATGTTAGTTCACCTTCCAACTGAAAATGTAATGAGATGTGGTTTGGGGAAGAGCCTGGAATAACAATGGTTTCACTCAAAACGACATAGCAAAACAAGGTTGTTTCCTTTTTATGGGATGTGTATTAAAATATGTGCGTCTTTCATGGCAAACTAAGCAGGATGTGTGTGTGTGCGGGGGGGGGGGGGGGGGGGGGGAGGCTGGGCTAGAGTTGCTCAATACCCATTAGTGTAAAAGACTCCAGACCTCAGCTGGAGATCTTTATCTCTCAAATTGTAACGGGAGCCCCTTTAGAACATTTGGAATGGTAATTAATAATGCACAGTGCACACAAAATCTTCTTTTCAACTGGAACCCAGAAAGAAAACATTGGACATTTAACTGGCCAAGTGGGAGACAAAGTGATATGGAAGGAGCAGTTGAAGGACAGAGGAAGAAAGAGGTTGTATGTCCAGTTAGCACCTTCTGAAGAGATGATTTAATGCTGAACTGGAAAACTGGATTAATGTGTGGGGGAAGTCAAGGAAC